AAGTATTGGTTTCAAATGGAGTTGTGGATGCGTGGAACAATCATCCGACTTGGGTAATAGAGGCTAGGACCCTGGGTGGCTGTAAAAGGAGATTGGATAAATATATGAGTGGGAGGGACTGGGTTTGATCTGGGATACCGGAATAAATTGTTGGGTAACTTTGGTTAAAGCTTGGACAAATACATGGGCGAATTGAAAATGGTATACAGTATTAACAGGCTGATAAGTATGTCATATTTGCAACGGTTAGGTATCTTTATTTCGAAACGTTTCGCCTACACAGAAGGCTTCTCCTGAGGAAGCCTAGTGTATAGACCTAATGTGTATTACCAAATACATGGGTGGTTTTGATAATGACTTGCCTTGTATGGGCCAGTAGGCCTGCTGCAGTATTCCTCCATTCTTATATTTTTACGATCATCATTCTCTCCAGTCCCCTGTATGATCATTTTTTCTCCAATCCAGTGTATGATCATCATTTCCAGTATGATCATCACCAGCACCGCCACCATTGCTAACACATCTACCACCATAACACATCTACCACCATAACACATCTACCACCATAACATAACTCCTACGTCTGCAACAAATGCAAATCTATTCTCAGTTTTATCTTTACTCTTGTATGGTTCAAGCTGCTTAGTGTGTTAAGGTTACTGCATAAAGCTTTAAATGCTTGGTCTTACCTGGAGGATAAAAATGTGTGGTGTCACTGTATCGTGTGTTACAGTGTACTGTGTGTCACTGTACCATGTGTTTACTGTCACTGTACCATGCGTTACACTGTACTGTGTGTCACTGTACCGTGTGTCACTGTACCATGTGTTACACTATTGTGTGTCACTGTATCATGTGTTACACTGTATTATGTCACTGTACCATATGTCACTGTACCATGTATCACTGTTCCATGCTTCACTGTTCCATGTTTCACTACCATGTGTCACTATTCCATGTGTCTCTGTACCGTGTGTCACTGCACCGTGTCACTGTACCGTGTGTCACTGTACCATGTGTGTGTCACTGTACCATGTGTCACTGTACCATGTGTGTCACTGTACCATGTGTCACTGTACCATTACAGCGTCGCCACAAATGAGAACCACCACCACCATCACCACAGTCTCTCACTTTAATACCTCCCTGATTCAACAAAGTTTCCCAGCTCACCTCATTATTTTATCTCTCTCTCTCTCTCTCTCTCTGTCTTTTACACAGGGTTTGACAAGGTTAGATTAAGGATCCCTAGCTTTATTGACAAGCTATTTACAGTTTAAGGATTCCTAACTTTATTGACAAGCTAAGAGCTGTTACCTACATCAGCTCATTTGTTATTGTTATGAAGCATGCAAGTAGGGAACAGGATGAAGTTGGAGCCATCTGTGGGCCAGCATTTTAATTTGATCAACTAACTTTATCTCGTTGACATCATTATGCTGTACTAATGTGTGCCATATTCGAGTCATCCTGGGTATATATGATCTCAGATGGAGTGATGTTCTGGAGAAGGGTACAGCCAGAGTGAAGTTGCTGCTTTCTGCCCGTCTTGTGGTATAGAAGCTTGCTTCACGTTGTCCTCGAAGTGGATCCAAGTGTGATACTTTGACAATATTGGCCTTGTACATAACAGTAAAGCCACCCACATCCCTCCTACTTGAAGGCTCTACTGAAATGACAGATCTATCCAGGATGGGTCCAGGCGAGAGATGAGACATCTTGCTTTGTTCTCCACCCTGTCAAGCAGTCGCAAATGAGAGGGGGGGAAGGGGCAGGCAAACCAAGAAAGTGGAGCATACTCAAGGTGTGAGCGTACTAGTGCCTCATGCAGAATCTTGCAACCCGTACTATCAAGCAGATGCGAGATACAGCGAAGTGCTGTAAGCTTCCTGGCTGCCTTGTTTAAAAGATTTACAACGTGGTTCTTCATAGTCAGTTTGGTCAGTCTCTCTCTCTCTCTTTCTCTCTCTCTCTCTCTCTCTCTCTCTCTCTCTCTCTCTCTCTCTCTCTCTCTCTCTCTCTCTCTCTCTCTCTCTCTCTCTCTCTCTCTCTCTCTCTCTCTGTAATGAGGCTTCTTTTGTGTTCCTGACACTTCCTCTTCACCTTTTCTTCTCTTGTTTTTTCCTTCCTCCTTTACTCCCCTCTTACTAATTTCATTAAAACTACAATTTATTATTATTATTATTATTATTATTATTATTATTATTATTATTATTATTGGTGGTAATAGTAAAAGTAACAGTAGTAGTAGAAGTGGTAGTCATAGGAATAATAGTTTTATTATTATTATTAATTGGTGTTGCAGTTTTGTAACTACCCGAGTATACTAATGTACACTAGAGTACATTAGTGTCCACTACAGCATATTAGTGTACACTAGAGTACATTAGTGTCTACTACATTACTGTCCACTAGAGTATATTAGTGTGCACTAGAGTACATTAGTGTTCCCTAGAGCACACTAGAGTATATTAGTGTCCACTAGAGTATTCTAGAGTACATTAGTGTCTAGTGCATTAGTGTCCACTAGAGTATATTAGTGTGCACTAGAGTACATTAGTGTTCACTTGAGCACACTAAGAGTATATTAGTGTCCACTAGAGTATTCTAGAGTACATTAGTGTCTAGTGCATTAGTGTCCACTAGAGTATATTAGTGTGCACTAGAGTACATCAGTGTCTAATTCATTAGTGTCTAGTACATTAGTGTTAACTAGAGTATATTAGTGTTCCCTAGAGCACACTAGAGTATATTAGTGTCCACTAGAGTATTCTAGAGTACATTAGTATCTAGTGCATTAGTGTCCACTAGAGTATATTAGTGTGCAATAGAGCACATTAGTGTCTAGTACATTAGTGTGCACTAGAGTACATTAGTGTCTAGTACATTAGTGTGCACTAGAGTACATTAGTGTCTAGTACATTAGTGTGCACTAGAGTACATTAGTGTCTAGTACATTAGTGTGCACTAGAGTACATTAGTGTCTAGTACATTAGTGTGCACTAGAGTACATTAGTGTCTAGTACATTAGTGTGCACTAGAGTACATTAGTGTCTAGTACATTAGTGTGCACTAGAGTACATTAGTGTCTAGTACATTAGTGTGCACTAGAGTACATTAGTGTCTAGTACATTAGTGTGCACTAGAGTACATTAGTGTCTAGTACATTAGTGTGCACTAGAGTACATTAGTGTCTAGTACATTAGTGTGCACTAGAGTACATTAGTGTCTAGTACATTAGTGTTCACTAGAGTATATTAGTGTGCACTAGAGTACACTCAACATCCTTCATATATAAAGGCACTTACCAACTGATCCCCGGTTGTCTTCAAAAGGAAACCGGATAAGTTCTTGAATTCAGTTCCTAATCAACCGGGCTGTAGTTATTACGTCAGACTACGTGTTGCTAGCAGAAATAGCTTAGCATATCAAAATATCAGTTTTGGTCTGGGATGGGACCCCTGAGGCGGTGACCTCCCAGGAATTGACTACAGAGAGACTGTAGTTGCTGTAATTATTTTTTTGGTTGTAGTGTTAGGTTAAGTGTGTAAAGCACTCAGATTCCCCGTACCTCTTTTGTTATATTACATTGAGGGTTTTACAGGATAAAAGTTTCTACGTATATTTACAAGCTAGGAGATGTTACCTACCTCACCTCATTGGAAAGCCTTTTTTTGTTGTTATCTGACATATAAACAGGGAGCAGGATGAAGTTGGAGCCATCTGTGGGCCTGCGATGTTTATTTCGTCAACTAACTCCTCCTTTTCCTCTGCCTCTCTTCTCTCTCTTGTTTTCCCCACGTTTCTCATCTCATTAATCATTTTTCTTGTTCATTTACAGAAGCTGAGCGTTTACATAACACACGAGTCACACTCACCCCTTCCTTAGTAATTTTAATCCACCTTTTTTGCTGTTTAATGTAAATTATCGGCTAATTGCTTCTTCCTGCCGTCTTATCCTGTTCTTGCTCTCTCCCCTCTCGCCCTTCCCTCTTACTTTCTTCCCTCTCACTTCCTCCCCTTCACTCTCTCTTCTCTTACATTCATTATGTATCTCTTTACTGTGTTGTCCACAGTGGCTGATTGTAACTCTAGTGGTGTTCACACTGGCTAATTGTAGCACTAGTGTTGTTCACACTGGTTGATTGTAACACTAGTGTTGTTCACACTGGTTGATTGTAACACTAGTGTTGTTCACACTGGTTGATTGTAACACTAGTGGTGTTTACACTGTTTGATTATAACACTAGCGGTGTTCACACTGGTTAATTGTAACACTAGTGGTGTTCACACAGGTTGATTGTAACACTAAGAGGTGTTTACACTGGATGATTGAAACATTAGTGGTGTTCACACTGGTTGATTGTAACACTAGAGGTGTCTACATTGGTTGATTATAACACTAGTGGTGTTTACACTGGTTGATTATAACACTAGTGGTGTTTACACTAGTTAATTTTAACACTAGTGGTGTTCAAACTTGTTAATTGTAACACTAATGGTGTTCACACTAGTTAATTTTAACACTAGTTGTGTTCACACTGGTTAATTGTAACACTAGTGGTGTTTACAGTAGTTAATTTTAACACTAGTGGTGTTCAAACTGGTTAATTGTAACACTAGTGGTGTTCACACTGGTTAATTGTAACTCTAGTGGTGCTCACACTGGTTAATTGTAGGTGCAGAAGAAAGAGGAAAGAAAATGAAAGTCTGAAGAAGATATCAAGCGTCTTCCACGGGGATGTAAAAATATAACAACAGTTGTAAAATATAACAAAAATGGAGGGGATGTTATACTGGAGGATTTACTTCGCAGAGTTGTACAACAATGAAATATATTAACAGAGATAGAAGCTGCTACAATGCTTGGAAAAATCTAGTTTAGAGAAATAAATAATGAAGCCGGGACATCACGAACACAACCTTGCTCCTGATGCTACAATTAGGTAAAAAAAATAGTTACGCAACGCCCATTAGCTTTTTTTGTTTCTTTGTAACAG